TTTAAAATTACCTTTTTTAATTATTTTATTTAATACCAGTTTTAAAGCGTAAATCTGTATCTAAAATTAATTATTGACTCTTTCATATAGTGCAGTTGTGTACCTACTTTAATTTAAAATTCTGAGGTTGCTTGTACACGTAACTTTCCGAATATTAAATAAAAATATTTTTGTTAAGATTTAAAAAATGAGACCAAGCGGTGCAAACCATCATTTATATTTTATTTAGTCACTTCTCGATTTTTAAAACAAGTTGTTAAGCTGGGCCCAAATATGGATTCTTACGGAACTTCACATGATACACATCTTTTAGATGAGTATCACTATCTGATAAACAGCTTTGAATGAGTGGAATTCTTTCCCAGAAAATCCATAAACTGTAATACTGGTTTTAAAACTTCATAAAGTGATACGTGATTAACAGTTAATTTGTAACACCCAGTAGTGAATTTTGAATTAAATTAAATATACATAATTTCCAACCAAAATGAAATACATTTTTCTTACTTGAACTCAAGAAAACAGGATATTTTTATCTCCCGTTTCAAAATAATATATTTATTATTTTGTATAATATCAATGTACAACATGTACCTACCTATACAGGGTGTTTCTTAAGTAGAGGTCATACATCCAGGGGCGTATTCTGTGGCCAAAAATAAGGATATATAAATGTGAGGTCTTTGGACAGCCACTGTCCAGCTACAGCGTGTCAAAAATTAAAAAAAAAATCAGTTTTTAATTTTTAAATATCTTGAGATAATTGAACCATTTCGGTGGGCATATTTAGTATGACAGTAGGTAGGAAACAAAAAATCACCAGCTTTAAAAACTTACCAGTGGCGGAGGTGTAGGTAGATATCATCGATCATTATTTGCCAAAAAAATATATCACCCTCTATAATATTACAAATAAAATAGATCATCATATACGCTATTGTATTATCTTCACTTTTTGTTTCTTTACACTTTTTTGTATTCCAAACCGATTAACAACAAAAATTAATTTATTTGATTAAATGCATTTTTACGGTATTCATTACCTTAAAATAATAACAAAATAATTAATTAATAGTGGAATTACTTTACTATGATTTATTATAACAAATGTTGGAAATGGCAACCTTCAGCCAAACTACATGCTTTAGATCTTCTTAAAACTACAGCTCCAACACGTACAAAAATTCCATCAGGAGTAACTCTTATCACATCACAATCAGCTGTAATTTGTTGACGTAAGTGCTCCTCAAATTCAATGTGAACATTGTAAACTAATGTCTTGAGATGTTTCCAAACAAAAAAATCAATAGAGTTCATATCGGGTGATCTGGGTAGACAAGGTTGACCTGGTTCTTGAGTGCCTCGTCCAATCACGTTATTACCGAATCTTTCAATTAAAAATTCACGAGCAGTCAAACTAAAATGTGGGGGAGACCTGTGCATGAACTACATTCTTTCTCTTACCGCATAGAGAACATCGTCAAGTAATTCAGGTAAAACGTTTTCAAGAAAAAGTCTGCAGGAGACACCGGTTACAGTTCTTGGTAAAAAGTTCATTATAGTATCTTTGGAAAAATTAGCTTCGTTGGTAAACAATATGCCAGCGGTAAAGTGTAGACGAGCGGGATAGTCTTGCGGCAGTAAGGCTTGAACCCTTTTTATGTGATACGGTTATAGTTGTTGATGCTTTAGAATGGGCCAAACTAATTTATGATTCACATTAAGATTTGCAGCGATCTTCCTAATACTAATATTTGGGTCTTCTTCAATTTCGCGTAGAATAGCTTCTTCCAACTCAGGCGTTCTAACACTCAAATGTCTTCCAGGAATTGGAACTTTCTGAAAAGAGCCTGACTCCGAAAGACGTTGAAAAACATATCTGAACATACTTGGATTTGGAGTTGGATGATTTGACTTTAGATTTAGTATTTTCTAATTTCAATTGTAATGTTGAAAAATCTGATTGCCCTTTAGTCAGTGAGGATCGTCGTCACCCTTCTTTACTGATTACATTTAGCACAGCATGAGTTTGTCATGAATTTCCCAAGTACAACCTATAATTTTAAGAAAGCTAATTCAACTCCTATCCGATCTTATATCTCAAACCGATTGGGCTTTTCTCTCCAGTTCTGATGATGTGGAGCATATGTGTTTAAGGTTTTATGAAAAATTATACAGTTTGTTTGACGCTGCTCCTCCTAAGTATTCGTCTTATGTATATTCGTCGATATCATTATCCTCCATTATCCTCCTTGGTTTACGTGTGAGGTTATTAAACTAATGCGAGCCAAAGCTGCTGCCCCTAAAAAGTATAAAAAATATAGAACTATTGAATATTATAATGCGTTTAGGGATCTCCGTAGCCTACAAATCGTTTATAAGTGACTTTGAAAAAAGTTTATCTATCGACCCTAAAAAATGTGAAATTATATTCTATTGTATTGTATTCCAGGTGTCATGGTTTACAATAATATTGAGCTCTCTAACCCTACTGATATTGTAAATGCCTTTGCTGATTATTTCCACAGTATCTTTATTCAATCTCATCCAAGAGACTCATCTAAATTTCCTTCAAACGGTAAACCTATTGTCTTTCCTTTATCAGGGAGGAAGATGTCTTACGAGGTCTGAGAAGATCTAAAGACTCCTAAAGTTTTATTCTAAAATTTATCACCACGGTAGCGTAGTCGGTCGAGCATGCGGTAGCAAGCATTCCCCGGCCTATTCTGGTCCGGGTTCGATCCCTGGCGTCGGAACTAGCAATGTCGATGGACAATGGGTGTTTATCTGCGTTTTTTCAAGTGTAGCCCCCTTCCGCATAGCATTTCTGTGGTGTGTTTTTTTAAAAACTGTGCGTACTCATTTGTTCAACCTTTTGTGTATTATTTAACTGTATTTTAAAACATTCATTTGGAAAATTTTCAAAAAGGGAAATCCTAATGAAATTGCTAATTATAGAGCAATTTATTTGCTGCGTAATTTTTCAAAAGTTCCAGAATCCACTCTGTATAATGAAATTTATTATCTCACTAAGCATCTGATATCCATTCATCAACATGAATTTATGCAGAGAAGATATACAATTTCAAATCTCGCTGTCGCTGTTTTCTCAATTTATTTCTGAAACTTTGGATGGTGGAGGGCAAGTTGACGTAATATTTACAAATTTCCAAAAACCCTTCGATTATATAAATCATTACTTCTATCTTGTATCTCTACATTATCTTACTAGCAAAGTTACAAGGATTTAATTTTTCAGATTCGTTAATCAGGCTTTTTCGATCGTATTCAGTAAGTAGACAATCTATGGTCAGGTTTCAAAATTTTACTTCTCAAGCATTTTCTCTATCTTCAGGGTGCCCCAAGGCTCTAATTTGGGACCCTTTTTCTTTTACTTTTAATTACTGATCTTCCGGATATTTTTTCATATGATGTTCGCAGATGATGTTAAATTGTTCTCTGTAATAAATTCCCGTACAGCTGCGTCCGTCTACAACAGCTCTGTATGAATCGTATGCCGTCATGGTGTGAATTAAATTGTTTGTCTCTTAACAACTCCAAATGTAAGGTAATGTCCTTCACTCGTAAAACTAATTTTGTTGTCTACGACTATAATATTGATGGATAAATCCTTAGCCGTGTTGAACTGTTTAAGGATCTAGGCATAACTTTTGATAGCACTCACTTTCATTGATCACATTAATAATATTGTGTCGAGTGCGTTCCGGACTTATGGTTTTATTTACCACAATTGTAGAGATTTTACACATATCCATACATTTAAAATAAATATTATTTTACTTCCTCGTCAGATCTAAAATGGAGGTTGGTTCCATAATATGGTATCCAACATACAACATACATCGGCAAAGGTCGGAGTCAGTTCAAAGGCGGTTTTTAAAATTTATGGCATTTACGCAAGATGGTGTCTATCCGCCACAAGGTTTTAATCATGCACATCTCTTGAATCGTTTTAGGCTAGAATCTTCTAAACAACAGAATTGATCGCAATATTTTATTAAACACTATTTACTTTCGCGTCTAGGTGGTAATTCGAGACAGCAGCATTTGTTCTTCTGTAGTGCACCTAGGACTAATTTATTGGTTAAATCTCCAATTTATTTAATGTGCAGTTTATATAATAAAATTGGAAATCATTGCAATATATTTAATGGTAATTTAAATATATTATGTCAATTTATTTCTCGGTTGTGTTTTATATTCATATATGTGTATTTGTATATTTACGTATAAGTAATTAATTGTCAGTATACGACGATTACTGTATTAAATGTAGGTACTTATTCCTGTAATTGGGTTTAATCCTGTTGGGATAATTAAACTTATTATTTGGAAATCTTTCCATATAATGTCGCCTAGTCTCAATACCATTTACAAAGCCGTACATGTAAACTATATTGGCTATTTCAGCATTTGAATAGCATAAGCCATTATTAAAACTTAATCTTTTTAAGAAATAAGCTTAATTTGACACAATATTAAACAAGATGACGGCTTCTTCTTATTATTGTTTTTCATGGTCTCCCTAAGATATATTTAATTAACGATCGATGATACCCACACCTCCGCCACTGGTAAGTTTCTAGAGCTGGCAATTTTTGGTTTCATACTTACTTTCATACTAAATATGGACACCGAATTTGGTTAAATTATCTCAAGCGGTTTAGAAATTAAAAATGATTTTTTTATGTTTTTTTGTACTGATTTTTTTTTAAATTATTGACACGCCGCGCCGTAATAATAATAATAA